CCGGACAAAATGTGGTGTCTACAATAGGAGTGGAAATCATCATCCCAGAGCAGATTCTTCCCATTGTTATGAGTATGACTGCTTTGTATCCTGTTTTTCTCTCTCTCTCTATGGAGTAGAACCCTTCTCTCACTTGGGTATGAAGAACCCTAGTTCCATGTGTTAGGGATTTGATTGTAATGACTTGGGATGATTATACTGTTTGGTTTTAATCGAATGATGCATGTTTTATTGAATTGATTGAAGTCTGATCAGCTTTTCTTGATTTCTGCTGCAACCTGAGATAGATAGAATCTGATTAGGTTGTTAAAGCCTCTTCATTCGATAGTAGGAGATTGGTTATACGAGAGTTAGCCAGTTTACTGCTTTGTACTGGAATCCAATTTCAGTAGTGGAGTTCTGTGCTCATTGCTTCAGCTTTCTATCCCGGTGAAGACTAGTCGTCTGCCGGGTAGTTAGACTGAGAGGGCTTGGTCAGCTTAAGAGATTCCAAGCTACTGTCGGATCTTCCGCAGTCTAATCAACAGTGAATCAACCCAGGGTAATTACAATTGAACCTAACTAAGGAGCTAGGGGGACTCATTCCCGAGTGACTCTTTCCTGCTTTAGAAAACCGAACCATTTCCTGCTTTTTACTGCTTTTACTTTAAACACAAATCACTCGACTTAGTTGGCTAGATAATAGATAATCATGGAGTAAGCAGTAGATCTAGACCCCGGGTTGATAATAGAACTTGCCTGTTACTGCATTCCCAGACTGCGATTACACTTGGTCACAGTTTGGTGTTGTGTTTTGGCGTGTCAAGTTTTTGGCGCCGTTGCCGGGGAACCTCTAGGTTATTGGGGAAACGTGAGAATTTGTTACTCTAGCTTTTTCTTTACTGCATTGTTTTCTCTTCCACCTGTGTGCCTTCACGGGTTGCTTCTGCTGATTGTGTGAAGGTAGTGCATGACCCGTAGCCAGTCAGGAGAACTACTACCATTAGACCAGGAGCTTGAACGGACCTGCATGAACTTCAAGCGGGCTCTAAAGGCGCGACTGGCTGCGGAGGAGGCGCTACCACAGCTACAGATCACTGACGAAGAGGAAATGGCTGATCCAGAGAACCAGGATATGATCAATCCAGAGGAGCAGACCATGGGATCCTACTGGACCGCCAGAGCCGCGGACATGAGGTCACCCATTCAACACCCTCATGTTCCAGCCAACAATTTTGAGGTGAGCACCTCAGTAATCACCATGCTGTGCGGTTCAGTGGTGTTCTGTGGCAAGGAGGGTGAGTGCCCCCGATCGCATCTGAGGAGATTCCACGAGCTGATTGATGGAATCAAGATAAATGGGGTCCCCGCAGATGCCATCCAGTTGAGGTACTTCCCATTTACTCTGGAGGGACAGGCAAAGGAGTGGCTAGATACTCGACCTCCGGGCTCTATCACCACGTTCGCCAATCTGGCGGACAAGTTCCTCACCCGCTACCATCCTCCATCCAAGACGGCTGACCTGCAGAAGCAAATTACCCATTTTGCTCAGGATGAGGATGAGACCATCAGGGATGATTGGGAGAGATACACCAGTCTCTTCCTCAGGTCTCCCAATCATGGTTTCAATGATGCTTTCAAGGTGGGCACCTTCTATCACGCCTTCTTCCCGGAGGACAAGCAGCTGATTGACTCGGTTTGTGGCGGGAACATGCTACCAAAACACCGCCACAGCTGAATCAACTCTTTGAGGAGATGGCGGAGAACTGGTACGATTGGGGAACTGCCAGGAGATCGAGACGAGCACCAGGACGGGGTGTGCATGCTGTGGGCACCCAGTCATCTGATTTGGTGCAGGTGGTATCGAAGCTGGTTTCAGCTATCGATCGCTCTGGATTGATTGCAGGTACAGGACAGCCGCAGGCGATACACTGCCAGTGGTGTGAGAGCTCCCATCACACTGTAGAGGACTGTTAGGCGATGAGGGAATCGTCTACTCCCCAGGAGCAGGTGGACTTCATCAGTAATGGCAGGCGCTTCGACCCCTACAGCAACACTTATAACGAGGGGTGGCGCCAGCATCCTAACTTTTCTTGGGCTGGGGAAAATCCCAGACCACCAGCTCCCCAGGGACCACCCGGCTTCCAGAGGCCTCCTCACAAGCCCAGACAAGGGCAATTTCAGCAGCCGCAACAACCTCTTTACCCGCCCAGACAGGGGCCAGTTCCACCTCAGTCACAGGTGCGACCATTTCATCAGACAGGGGCAGCACCTGCAGCCCCAGTACAGATTGACCCGATGGCGGAATTGAGAGATTTGGTGGGTTCTCTGGCCACCTCCAGTGCAAACAAGTTCAATAACATCGAGCAGTTCATGGAGAAAGCTTCAGGTAAATTCTTGGAGCTAGAAGCTGGTCAGAGAAACACACAGGCTGTGCTGCGGGATATACAGACTCAACTTGGGAGTGTTGCCCAGGCTGTAGCTCAGAGGACTCCGGGTACCTTGCCTGGTCAGACCATCCCTCACCCGTAGGACCCGAATGCCAACTGCAGTGCCATCACAACCAGGAGTGGCAAGATGACTGCCGATCCACCTGTTCGGGCAGCGGAGAGAGAGACTCCTGCTTCAACACTTCCAGCTAATCAGGAAGAAATGGAGAAGGAGGTTGAGGTGCCTGCTCCTAAACCGCCACCAGTGGTGAAGGAGTATGTACCACAGCTTCCCTTTCCTACTCGGTTGCACAAGGACCGACTGGAGACTGAGTTTGCCAAATTCATGGCAATGCTGAAGCAGCTAAACATAAGCATGCCCTTCATGGAGGCATTATCGAAGATGCCCAAGTATGCCAAGTTCATGAAGGATCTCCTCACCAACAAGAGGAAGCTTGGGGAGCTGTCAAGAATGGATCAGGTCAGTAACCTTATGGTGAGTAACTATGAGTAACCCGTCCACATCAGCATGACATCAGCATCCTCTTTCTCCTAGAAAGCCTTTAATTTTTCCCTCTTTAATCTTTGACGGACGATTTCTCGCTCATTTTAAGCCGAAATTTAATTTTTTTTGCACAGTTAGATCAGATTAATTGTGCTCTTCAAAATGATATCCACTTTAATATATTTTTCGAACAAAAAAAATTGAGCCATTTTTTACCAGCCTATACCATATGGTATTGACTGGTATTGAAATAAAAGCATACCTATGTTTTGAAAAACGTACCATGGTGGTATGAACAAACCAATACTGTAGGATGGTTGAATACATGATAGTAGAAGTATATTAATTATAATTTACGACTTTTAACATTGTATACCACACAATACCACCCCGTACCAGGGTGGTATTGTATGGTATTGTGTGGTATTTTTTGGTCCTGTAATTTGTTCACCCAGAAATTTGTAGATCCAATAGATCATGATGAACTCGTCCCTTCAGTGCAAACGTTTTCAAAAACGAATTAAAAACGAACAAGATACCATACAATACCACCCCGTACCAGGGTGGTATTGTATGGTATTGTGTGGTATTTTTTGGTCCTGTATTTTGTTCACCCAGAAATTTGTAGATCCAGTAGATCATGATGAACTCGTCCCTGCTGTGCAAACGTTTTCAAAAACGAATTAAAAACGAAGAAAATACCATATGGTATGCAGTTGGTACCGAGAGGCCAGAATTTTTTTTCCTCAAAAAATATTGAAAATTGATCTCATTTTGTAGAGCACGGTGAACTCGTTCCATCTGTGCAAAAAAAATTAAAATCCGAGTTAAAACGAAAAAGATATGAGTCAATTAAGAAAGCTAGTGAAAATAAAAATAGTCTTTAATTTTTCATCCTTAGATCTGGATTTTCTAAATGAAGGGTCCAGATTTGGTTATTGATGGGTGCATCCCTATCTTGAGCCGCCTGGAATGGCTACCGCCGGGAAATACGATCGCCTTCCTCTGTTTCTCTTTCTTGCTAAAGCTGTCGGTGCTAAGGAACTGTACGAGCCGCTCGATTTTCTTCCTGATTGAAGGCAAGTCAACCACCTCTTCGTCTCTTCTTGATCCGGAGGTCAATATCAAAATTGTTAATGGATTCTTTCTTTCACTTGAACTTTAATTTGAGGACAATGGTTTATTGGAAGGCTACTGAGATCGCTCTACTGTTCATAGTTCCTAGGGTTGATTGAATTGAAATGCTCAGAATAATAATTTGAATTCTGTTATGCAGTGCTGTAATCTTTTTATTACAATGGAGTTTGTGCTTCTGTACCCACTAACTGAAATTCTAAGCTCTTGACATGGTCACGAGTTGCCCCTTACACGTTTCGAGTTCCCGAAGGGCCGGTCCTTGAACAGTAGGCTAATCAGATGCTTGTTAGTGTTTGTTCGATCTGTTATCTCAAGGAGTAAGGACAATTTGTCTAATTGGTTGGACACTGAATTTCTAATTTGACATGGTTTACTTTGTATGCAGCTGATTTGATAGGAATACCTGCATTTAGGTCTTCCAAAAACTAGAATCTATGCTGGCACTTGATTTCCTTGCTTTTTGAACACATGACTAGAATCTATTTTAGGACTAGGGTTGCACTCAGGTTTGTGATAATGGGAGCTTACTTAAAGCGCTCATGTCTGCATAATCATGTCTATGTCAGCGCAGACTGTAGTTTGTTATATGAAGGAGCATTGACAAGAAGCACCTTCCAAATTGGTCTATTTGTCGACTGAGAAGCATGCAGCTTGTAAGGTTACTCATTTCCATGGTTGGTGCTTGGTTTCCTTTGACGCTCTGGTTTTGATGATTTTGTGAAATTGAAGAGATGTTCAATTTTATGGTTCATTAATATAGCCCAATGCTTCAATTTTTTAAGGGAAAAAGACTACATAATCTAACTCCACTATGTTCCATATGCGATCACTTTGTCGGGAAAATTGAACTTAGATATTGTGCAATGTTTCTCCTGGAATTGCTCAGACTTCATGAACAGGTATTATGGCCTAATTTAGGTGGTAGATATTGCATAGCTTGATACTTTAATAACATAGAACTGCTTGCCTGAGATTGAAGTCTACAAACAAACCAATACAACATTGTACTCGATCTGCTCCCTAATTTGGAAATTGATGGCGTCTGTGTGAGCTTATGCTGATCATTTTGGTGCCCAATCTGCAACCATATGGTGAACTGAGTTGTTTTTATAGTTTTAGGAATGCTGAACTGTAGAACCAGAAGTAAATCCTGGCTACTCAGTAACTGTTGGTTGCTAGTCATATCCTTATTTGTGGTTTTGAATCCTCACATCTTTTTTTTCTTACTCAACCTGCACCGTGGAGCAGGGGCGACTTTGAATCAGATCAATATCACGCGACTGTTGAAGTAAGGAATGGAGCCAATGTCGTATGGCATATAGATCAATGGTCCAAAGATATCCCATTTCTGGTTCATTGCTGTAATATCAGGGCTCTTAACTTCTGGACAAATTTCCCTGTAGTGCTAATCGCATCGGGTTGCCTGAGGAAAGGCTACTGGTATCAAATGCGCTTGCTCATAACTTTGCTGTTTTCACAATGTCAAGTAGAGGAAGGTGCTGGACATTTGGGGGAAGAGATGTTAACAGTAAAAGATATCCTAGAATGGTGGGTGGGTAAATATAAGTTTCACAAAGCTCCTCTTATCACCTTGGGAGCCTCTTCTGGTGGGTACTTTGTTTCTGCTCGTGTTGCATATCCGAAGCTGAGTAGTATTATGATCATGATTGCTGAAGGGGTTTTTGGTGAGATAGATATCCCGGAGGACTATCCACCTACTCTGTTTATTCACATGCCGAAAGATGTACACATGAAGCAACAGATAAGTGTGCATTTGGAGATGCTGAAGAGTAAATGTATCAATGTTGCATAGGTTGAATGCTTTGACATTCCCTTGTCAAAGAGTTTCTTAGCTGACGGAGGTCGAGGACTTGATCCAAATGCCTCAGCCAATTTGTTTCATCTATTGAAGGACAAAGGTTTTGGTTATGAGCAAGGATACATGTAAAAAAGAAGAGCATGCTACACGCTGGAAAGAAGCTCGCTGAGGAAGTACAATCAAGCTGGACAAGATTTTGTTCCAGCAAGTGCAGGAGGAACTAAACCTTGCTTTTGCATTTCATGAAAAAACGAGCTTGCCATGTGATGCCATATCTAAATGGTTTGAATCCCACATGAAGAGGAGTTCTTCTATTTCAAGCAAACTCCAGCATCTTCTTACAGCAAAATCATCTCAAAATTGAGAGAATTGGAGCAGATAGTTTCAAGGTCAGTGCTTCATCGTTTTTTTTTTAATATAATTTCGGAGTTCTCCATGTTTGCACCAATGCTAGTAGTTAGAGGTATTGTTTACTAATCAGAAAATTGAGCCTTTCATCTTATGGTAGGCATTAATTAGTATTTGTATTATGCAATCACGAGCTTAGCAAGTTGGAGCAAGCTTCTATCTTATTCTCTTCAGAAATGGACAATGTGGAATAAATTGAAGCAACTTGCAAAGCAGACTGCAACGAAATTGATGGCTCGCACTTAGATTGTCAGTGATGAAGGAGCCAAAGTCAATCTAATTCCTTGGTTAGACGCTTTAGGTAGCCATATGTTTTGCAATGTTACAGCAAAAATTTGGTAGCTTCATTCTGTATCGTCGACATTTATAAACCCATCGTAGCCGGAGCACATATGCTCTACTAAGCTGTTATTGGACTATTTCAGACAAGTCTTTAGTTTAAATATATGGTTGTTGTAAACTTGATGGAATGCCATGCCATGGCTTGATAATAAAATGCAGGAGGAGATAGGTATGCATTTATGTTGGTTCTGATTCAAACATTGCCAAGTGTCCTCCTTCCCTTGTTCCCTATTTGCATTAACTCCCCCTTGTGTTCACAGAAATGACCCAGAAGACATTCAATTCCATTGAATCCATTCAAATCCCCGTTTTCACTTCTCCCTGAAGGATGTTCTCTGTAATTAGCACAGGTTACGCTGCCGCGGCATTATCATGTCACAGCTACAAGCCCCGCCAACAGGCACAGGTTACGCTGCTTTAAAATCCCTTTCCATGGGTGTAAAATTACTCCCCTGTTTTCAATACTTACCTTTCATCGTTTTCTTTAGCTCTGCATAATTATTCCTATTAGGCTTCACTTTACTAACCACTTAATGTTTTTAGTTGCAACTAAACTACCCAAAAGGCGACTTCCAGTTGCACGTCCATAAACTTGACGTTACATATCAAATTGCAATTTTGCGCCTCCTTGAAAAACAAGTTATTAAACCTTAGCTATTTTTCTGGAGGGCAAAGGATACAGCCTCAACCGGCTGAAGGCTTCATAATCATAGGATCAATCAGTAAATCATCCTCATCACCATGATTAACTTCTCACATAAACGAATGCATCAAGCCCTAAGTCAGGTTGTGTGAATTGCTGTAAAAAACAGTCTTTGCACTGTTAGTCGCAAGCGGAGGGAAAAACAGTCTTTGCTATAAAAAACAGTCTTTGCTTAAACAAATCGTCTTTGCACTGTTAGCAGCTATCGGAGGGGAAAATCGCAATTTGATACCCACTGTTAAGCTTATGAACGGAAAATGTGATGTTACAACTAGCTCGAAACCAGCTTGTCTAGTTTAGTTGTAAATAAGAACTTTAAAGTGGTTAGTATGCAGCACAAGCAACACTTAAGTGATATCCGGATCCGGTGCAATCAACTTTTCACTAAACTCGAAAACCGATAATGAAAACTCACTGCAATGGCTTGTGAAGCATTAAAACTTTAACATCCAAATCCATAACACTCTAGAGCTGTCCTCTTCAATGGGATAAACATAAAAGACATTACTAAAGTAACAAACACATAAAACAGAGCAACATCAGCATATAAAATGTAGAAATTCTAAGTAATTGATAACTGACAGAAGACCACTTGCAGACTATGATAATGGTGGTGGTGAACAGAACAAACACCTTACATCCGACGACAACTGACTCTCAACCTCTACTACCAAAGCTAGTTTCTGGGCTTGAGACGTCCTTCATTGGCCATCTGGAAGACACGTCCCTGAGCAGCAGCAGCCTTGTTGGATCCCAGCGCCGAAACGAAGCTCTCCCTCACCTGGTTGGTGGTGAAAGCAAACCTGTTGGTGACCATGGAGTTGAGCAGTGCAGCAGTCCCTTCTCGGTAGAGAGTTCCATAGCCATCCCTTCGAGGGTTGGAGAGAGCCTGGGGAAGGCTGGTGGAGGGTCCAAGGCCCGGCAGGCTGGGAGCTCCAAAGGCGTTGCCCAGTGTGCCCCACCACCCTAGCAGCCCAAAGATGATTGCTGGGTGGTTCCTCCAGTAGCTGCCAACCAAAACCCACTTATATTTATCAGCTCAAGTTTCCATCATTTTGTCTTTCACTTGCTTGCTTTAAAGAAGTGTACTTACTTGCATGAGAAGGGAGAGTTTGGATCAATGACAAATGGAGGCGTAGAAGGGGTGCCGATGATAGGAATGGTCGGGGGGCTGCCGCCGATGATAGGAGTCGGGGGAGTCAGAATACCACCGCCGCCTCCGCTAGTTGGTGGGGAAGGTGAAGGGACATATCCGCCGCCTCCGCCGGTTGGTGGGGAAGGTGAAGGGACGTATCCGCCGCCGCCTCCGGAAGGGGGAGTTGATGGAGTAGTCGGATCAGTTGGAGTGGTGGGAGTTGGAACAGAAGGTGGGGTTCCACAGTTCCCAGTTGGAGGATTTGAGGGAGTGGGATGGTAACCTCCTCCATGAGACGGTGTAGAGTGGTGTGGAGGTGAAGAAGTACCATGCGATGGAGTTGGAGTGTGAGAACCTGCATGCACCCACGTTATAAAGGAAACACACCAGCTAGGATAAGGAAAAGCATGCTGCTTGCTGAATCTATTGATGCCAATGAAGTGAAAGAGAGAGATGACCTGAAGGGGGAGTCCTGGAATGTGGATCTGGGGGGTAGTAGTTCTTCTGCTCTCCAATCAGCTGGGAGGATGCCATCACTGGGACGGCCAAGTTGTGGGAGAGCAAAGCAGCAGCTACCAGAACCCACATCACTCCTGCTTCGCTACGAGCCTGCTGCTTGATGAGCTTCCCTTGCATCTCTCTCATTGTTCGTTGCTAGGCTTGGGAGGAAAGCAAGCTGGAAAGTCTGTAGAGAGGGAGGAGCAGTGGTGCAGTGGGCTTGAGTGAAGTGTTTGGTTTTATAGAAGGTGATGGTAGATGGTAAAGTGGTGGAACAGAAGTACGATAAGAGTAAATACCCCATTGCGTAATTTGGTGGAGAGTATGTGGGTTAGTTGGGGTGGCGTTGCACCCGCATTTATGATGCCACATTGTTTCTTTTCTTTCTGGATGCCTTAACAGAGCTCACTCGCTGCTGGTACTGTAATTTCTTCTTCCCCGATTTGCAGTATCCTAACCAGATCCCAACTTTGAATACTCATCTAAAATTTGTAAAGTAACTTCGGGCTGTTTTGAACTCAACATGCCATGTTGTAGGGGCTTCATGCTGTTTGGGTAGCTAAGAAAAAGGTCATTAGAGTTGGAGAAGTGGAAACTGTGAACTCAAAATCATATGATATGGTTGGATATCTTTTGCAAGTTAAATATGCTATTGAGGGTGGCCATTCTGCTATATGCTATCTTTCGATGTTAGCCTCTAAACTTTTGTTTACGGACTTAATTGTTGGGTTAAACTCTCTGTGGCAGTGGCAGGTCTTGGTATCAACGGTGTTCTCCATGTCACACCAGTTGATGTGGACTTGAAGCTTTGTTGGACACTGAGTACTGGTTGAGACTTGAGACTGCGCAAGTTGGTGGTTGATGCTCTTCTGGTAAGCTTGTCATTAATTTAGGAGTGGATTTGTTGTTCCAGGTGAATGACCAAACAGATTCCCAGAAAATGGAAACAAACAACGGCATTCCTTTCACATAAAACTTGGCCCCTGCTTGATGATACACAATGACGACAATACCCAACTTTCTTGAAATGTTAGATTCGCTTGGACTAGAATCTAGATGAATGCTTCTTACCGCCATTCCACTTAATTACTGAACCATAGGCTCTACTTATATATGCTCAATGAGACTCTAATTATATATATGCGATGTGGACTATTGTTTTTGTCGTTTTTCTTATTACAAGGTTCTGTTTATTATAGAAGAAAAAAAATGTAAGTAGCTCACTCAGTCCTTCTTAGATGTCTTCTTTCAGTAAGTAACTGCAAAATCTTTGTCTTCCATTGCCCTCTAGGAACGGGTTCCGTCCCAACAACTAAAGTATGGTTGAAGATGGTAGATGGCGCTATTTATGATGCTTTTGCAGACTGAGGCTGGCCTCGAGAAACAGCAAAAAAAATCGATGTTACCTCAATTTAGATCTCTTCCTTGGATGGAGAGTAGAACATGAACGAGGGGATGCCACTTGGCCATGGCCAGTGTGTCCAAAATAGAAATGGCTTCCGGGAAAGCAAAGAACAGGACCCAAGAACACATTTCCCCCAAGCAAGCAAGCAAGCTAGCTAGGTGGCTGGCTGGCTGGCTGGATGCCCTGCCTCTGTCCACCATTCTTTTATGGCTGTAGCAGAGGGGTAGTTGTGGTGGGCACATAAAATGGCGGAGCGGAGTAATTACAGTCGACAGGCAGAGCCACCAGCCATATACAGGGTTATGGCTTTTACTCTTGCTCACTTATTTTATCATCTCTCTCTCTTGCATTTCCATGTTACTGTTCTCTGCCTGTAATATTTTTAATGTGCATCTACATTTTCGGCTTTCTCACCTCTCCTCCAACCTGTCTTTTGACCAGCAGCAGCACAGGCACAACCAAATCCAGCTCAATGTTATTGGCTTTTCCCTGCCCTTCCCTTCCCTTCCCTCAATTTAACTTTGTTGCAGAGTCGATGCAGGTTTCAAGATTGTCAGTACTATGCCAACGATAATATTGCATTGCAATTAACGTTCACATCTGCCTGTCAGCTGAAGCTGAAGCTTGCTGCTGCTAGGAGAGGGCCTTTCCTCAGAAGAATTATGAATAGCTGTTGCGTGTTGTGATGGGTGTCTTTGCAATTGAGCACGGATCAATTCAATTGGCTGCCAAACTGTACGGGTGCATCAACCCGTAAAACTAATGTTCTAAGTTTGTAGGTTAATTGTATTGATCTATAGACTACAGAGTATTGTTGGTAAACAATGGGCAATTTCTTTTTTGTTTTTTTTAATAGAAAACTTGATTTTTTCCCTAATTAATGTCGGACTCAATATTAGAATGTATTAGTTTTATACTCAATTTGTTGGCCAACTGAGTTTTGGTTATTATTTATGTTTATCAATTGATCTCAATGCTTAACTTATTTATATTTTTCTGTGTTATTCTAATTTACATTTTGAAGATGTTTGTGGTTTTTTGTGTGCGAAGAAAATTTAAACTTTACCATCACCCAACCTTTTCTATTTCTTCATATCCCGTCACTTTCTTGTTTTCTTATTTTTCGTCACCCATCTTCTCATTTATTGCATACGAATAGAAATGTACTAATTAACGCCCTAAGTTTTTTAAATTTATCACTCTAACTTAACCAATTTGACGTTTTTGCCCCTGACATATTTTCAATCTCTAACCAAATTTTGCCCTAGGATTCTTCCCCCATTACCGCTGTTAGCCCTGGGAGTCTTCACCCTTCGTCGTCGCAACTACCTTCTGCTGCGCCGCTCACCCTAGGGATTCCTCGCGGCGCCTACTTCCGTCGATAGGGAGCTTGAGCAACAGGCCGAGGATGCGGGTAACAAGCTCCTTAATCCCGTCTTCACAATCTGCCAATGAAATGTGGCGATCCAAACAACATAATCGAATTCTCACTCCTCTCATCGACGCCTCGTAGAAGCTTGACGAGCCCTTCTCTGTTTTCAGCGTTCTTCATCCAATGCCCTAGGAATTCCTTGCGGCCTATGTTTTCAACGTTCTTCTTCCAATGCCCTAGGGATTCCTCGTGGCGGCTGCTCTGCTGCTCGGTCCGCCCCGTTGACGGCTGCCATGCCTTTCGCTGCCCCAATCAAGGACGTAGAAGAGAGAAAAGAATCTCGCCCCTCAACCTTCTCTCTCCTTCCTCAACGGTGAAGGGCAGAGCAGCAACAGAGGTGGAGACTGGCCTTCTCTTTCCTTCCTCAAGGCGACGGGCGGAGCAGCAACAAAGGTGGAGATTGAGGATTGATTGGCAATTAGGGATTAGGGCGATGGATTGACAAAGCGTTTTGGGAATTAGGGCTACTGTTTTAGTGAATGGGGGTAGAATCGTCTGTTTAATTAATTTAGGGCGAAAATTATAAAAATTTAGGGCGTTAAATAGAATTTTAGTACAAATAAGACGGGGAGTCTGAATTCCCACATGGTCAAAGTATAACCAAGACAGAAGAATAGTACTTGGCCTATCAAACACATGTGGCCCAATCGAATATGAGTTCCCTACAGAAGCTAAATGGTCAGCGACAAAGTTCGCCTCGCAGAACACATGGTTGATCCTAATGGTCCATGTATGATTAAGCCATCGCCAGATCTCTGCAACCTGAGTGTAGTGTGGATGTTGTGGTGTCACGGTCCCCATCAGAGACTTAGCAGTAGAAGAATCCGTCTGCAAAATAACTTTCCTAGCCCCTTGTTCCCAAGCAAGTTTCAAACCATACACAATTCCAGCCAACTCAGCACGAGTAAACGAACCCCCTCCAAGGTTCGCAGTGAATGCTCTAAGACCATCATCTCCCCGTATATTACCACCACAAGTCGTGCTCTCAGGAGGGAATGTGACTGAGCCATATGTATTGGCACAAAGCAAGTAATGCACCGGTGGTTGCCAGCCAATTTGACGCCATTTTAGGAGTCCCGCATCCCGAATATATTCCTCTCCTTCTGAAATGCCTTCAAAATCTAATCCCGGAGCTGTTTGGATTGGAATTGGAGTTGTGCATGGGTCTTCAACCCACCCAGAACAAGAAGCCATTTCTATTTTTCCACAGAAGACAACGCGTCCCCTGCAAAGAGCGTGTTATTGATGATAGTGCTGCACCTTGAGGTGTGCACCCTCTGCATGGATGGTTCTTCCAAATTGATCGCCATACAGGTTGGCCATGGATGGAGCTGTCTATCGTGTCCGTCAACTCGTACATCATCCGAAGCGTGAAGTCTCCTCAAGGAGAGAACAAACATACTCTCACATCTTCTTTGAACTCCGTTGGGCTAGGATGAAGAAGTATCTGCGAGACAACTGAGACTGTTAAGTAGTAAAGAAGAAAATCTGAGTTCCACTTACCATTCAGGACGAACTCTATGATTGGCATGTTCAAAACTTCAGGTGGTAGGTTGAGTTCATAGTGTCAAAGGATAGTAGTATCGTCTAGCCAACAATCTCTCCAGAACCGGGACACCCTCCCATTGCGAATATTCCAAGTTGTAGCGTCCTACAGAAAGTGCGCCACACGCACCACTCCTCTCCATAGATTGGTTGGTTTGCCACTGGAATGGATAACTCATCCCTTGTCGGTTGCATGGAGTACTTAGATATGATAACTTTTGCCTAGAGTTTATTGGGTTTAGTGAGTAGTCTCAAAGCAATCTTAAGCATGTAGGCTCCATCTGTTCTTGTCAACCCCGGAGTCCCAGACCACCCTCGTCTTTCAGCCTGCATATCGATTCTCAATACACAAGGTGGAGCTTTCTGCCATGTTTGGTGCTTCCCAAATGAAAGCCCAGATCTTCTTTGTTGATATGACTTGAATCGGACTATCAGCCGCTACGACTGCTGCCCACATGGAGAAGTACTATAAATACTTCTCATACTCCTCTGTAATCTGTAATCTCCTTGATATAGTGAAATCGGCTCTCTCTCGCCCGTGGACGTAGCTAACACACATCGTGTTAGTGAACCACGTAAATCGTGTGTCGTGTTTTCGATTCTCGCTTTCGTATTCTTGTTTTGTCGATTCCGGCGATTTCCCGATCCGTAGCAGCGCGTTTATAACAAGTGGTATCAGAGCCGCGGTTGGAAATCAGGCTAGGGTTTTCGATTCAGAAGAATGACGTCGGTGAACATGAAGATCGAAAAGTTCACGGGGAAGAACAGCTTCGCTATATGGCAGATCAAGATGCAGGCTTTATTGAAACAGCAAGGGCTGTGGGGGCCGCTGTCTGCGAAACAGAAGAAGGCAGCGGTCGATGACGATGAGTGGAATACCCTGGAGGAGAAGGCCCACTCGACCATCATGCTATCGTTGTCTGATGACGTCATCATTGAAGTCGTTGCTGAGAAGACTGCCGCGGGCTTGTGGTTGAAACTGGAGAGTCTGTATATGACGAAGTCTCTAACCAACAAGCTGCATCTCAAGCAACGGTTGTTCAGCTTGAGGATGCAAGAAGGTACGCCTTTGAGGGAACATCTCGAACAGCTTAACTCTATTTTGCTGGATCTGCGTAATATAGATGTTCAAGTTGATGACGAGGATGCTGCCCTAATCCTGCTGGTTTCTTTGCCGAGTTCATATGAGAATTTTGTTGATTCTTTTATTGCTGGTAAAGAAAGCGTGTCGTTGTAGGATGTC